GCAACGCATCTGCGAGCCATCATTGAGGTACCTTAGATGCCTCAGCTTCTCCTGCTGCTGCAGTAGATCAAGGTGTACAGCGATACATCGGCGGTACATTATACAGATAGCGATACATTAGCCTAATAAATTGGCATCAATAAATATTGATTCAGTAGTGTGCCTTGCCAGTGGGGAGCCCTCTCATAATAGACTGACCTCTTGTTATAACGCTCATCTCAAAGCATAACAAGGGACTGAATCAATATTTATTGATGCCAATTTATTAGGCTAATGTATCGCTATCTGTATAATGTACCGCCGATGTATCGCTGTACACCTTGATCTACTGCAGCAGCAGGAGAAGCTGAGGCATCTAACGAGGTACCTGAAAGATACTGCGGGAGTAGGTACCTGAAAGATGGCTCGCAGATGCGTTGTGTGTCTGCAAAGAGGGGAGGAGTGCAACGGAGGTAGTAGGCGCAGGTTCTGTCGCAGAAGGCATCTGTGGTAAAGCTGAAGACGTATAGAGTGAAGGAGTGGCCGCGTGCATTGTGCTGTAGTAAGTGCCTGTAAAAGATCCATATACACTGTATGATGGAGAAGGAATGGGCAGGTGGAAAGTGGATGGTGTGCTGAACGACTGATCAGGTAATTCTGTAGTCGGGGTGTCGATCGTAGAGGCCATGTACAATGAAGGTTCATGGAGTTGCGAAGTGTTGCCGTGGAGGGTAAGGGGTTGGGGGTGACATGATAGGTACTGTACATAGACGCAGAAGGTATGGCTGAGGAGATCCCGTAATAACCTGAAATCATGCTGAGACACAAAGCTTAAATACTTGTTGACACGATTGACCTTCGAAGAGGGTCTCATACAAGGGAATCAAAAGCAAGGTGTCTAATGATGTGCGAAAGGTCATCTGCTGTTAACTAGTTTGCCTGTAGCTCAGTTCGTAAGTACTTCTGTCATCCATATAGCGTAGAAGGTAAGTTCTTCACATTTTGCAGACCCATTTTCCATTCAAGCGTGTGTTTCTGAACCTTTAAGTGACTTTAATTCTCCTAACTCTTGGCTTGAATTTCCCCTTTCTTCTATTTATCAATAATATTCACTGAGCTGGAAATGCTGGTGAGAGGTCACCAGCCAATTAGGCAAGGTCACCCCACAGGCGATCTCACCGGTGTTCCCACAGGCGAGGGCGGAAAGGTGCTGAGTGGGGTCAACTTAGCTAAATTGACATTCCCCTCGCCCACAAATAACCGCACGTCGATGCTGACCCGCCGCTTCTTTATGAAGTCCAATTGATGTGAAGCTTGTCGCATGGATATAGGAGTACGAACGTGCAGGCGCATCTACCAAGCGATTATTGGCATAATGTCAACGAGAAAGTCGTTCAGAAGTACTCGTCATCACTGCTGCCATTTCAGAGCCAAAATCCAAATTGCTGTGCCTTGTGCCCTTAAACGACCATTTATATAAAAGTGGTCGAGGTATAATGGTACAAGAAATAGACTGTTGAATTCTAATGAACAAACATCATTAGTAGAGAGGAAGTTTCCTGCATCAGACTCATGGAAATATTGTGATATAGAGAATACTTTTTTGATAAATGTTGTCATCCTTTCTGTCCTAAATTGCTAAGAGTAACTAATAGAGGAAAAAGAAACAATGCCTATAGGGAAACATGGACGATAGCACGATAGAATTGAGAAGAGATAACTACATACAAAACAACATAAAAATGCAATCAAGTTTAGATAAACAACCCGTATGTTTAGATACACTGCAGGCCCAGCAGTAGTGTTTTACCCGTGACACAGGACTATACACAGTTTTCACCCTTGTTAAGAACCTTTTGTATTACCTATATTGAAGTAATACGGAATCGCAACGGAACAGTCAAGATTGTTAGTCTATAAGATACATTGAGATAGATTAGGAACTTCACAGTATCCCTTCTGAAATGCTTAAGATGTTCACAACGGATTCCACGCACATGTTTACAAACATGGAACATTATTTCATTATTAGAACATGAAAAACTTTTGGCATTTGCTTCAAGAATGCCAACAAATTGTTGTTTAGTACTAACCGAGTTTCCACTTTTTTCGCTTGATGAAGGAACTACACGCAATTCCTGGCACCACAATTGGAAGAACAATTAGAAATGGGTAGGAAAATTAGAAAGAAGCGATGGTTTGATTCGTCCTTTATCTCAAAGAACCGTTGTAATTTCGTCAAACCCGGTACTCATAAGTGAGGTGGGATTGATGGAATAGACATTATTGGGAAACGAGTTGTCAAAAAGATTCAGAAGTCGGCGCAAGATACTCATGCAAAATCACGCCGTAAAAAGAAGATAGGAAGAAGAAGAAGACGAAGTGGCACTAAAGATCAACTGAAGTGTGCCAAAAAACAAAAAAAAAAGTAGGAAGTCTGGTTGATTCTAGTTAATAGCCTGTAACGTGATCGCAAAGCAGGAGCTCTATGTGAATAACTGTTGAAACTAATTACAAACTCAAAATCAAAAATCTCGACAAAACGTGAGTTAGTGTGGACCTTCGCTGCCAGTGAGAGCATTCCTTTTCAGTTTAGTTATCTTTTTGTAATTATTTACAAATGGATATTTGTAACAGTTAACTATTTTTAATTTATTTGTAGACACATGTACCGATGCTACTTATAATAAAGTTTCTTGTAGTCATGCTCGAATGTGTTCCAATCGTCTCTTTCCGTTACAAATTAATGTAAATATTAAGAAAACGAGCAAGTGTTGGCTGGTCTTAAGTTTGTGTGAGTTTCTGTGTATGTGAAGGAAGCTTCATTGTTAAGAGAAATACTTGTATCACATTTGGGAATCAAATGTTCTTGAAGCTGAAGTCATCGGTTTATTATACATTTCAGTGCTTAGCTTGCCACTTACTACGCTGGTCGTTAAATCCAAATAAACTAGATACCTCACCTTGAGCTTTTTTCAGCTGAAGGGTACCCGTGTGCCTCTAGCCGTCAGGATATCAGCCTTTTTCAACAGGCTATCCAGCGACTTTCTCATTGCCGACAGCTGCTCTGCTGTGGTCACGTCGCTCAGGAGCATCTGCTCCAGTTCTGCTGGACTGAGTCCTGCTTCTTCTGTCGTCATATTATCTGCAATAGTTGATGTTCGGTCTCTGTGTCGAACGAGTATAGAGACGCTTCGAACAGAACCGCGAATCCTTCCGCTTACAGTCAGTGCGCACTCCCGACCAACAATAACAGACCCCGACACGGATTACCACGTTACGGGTCCCTGTTCACAGTCAGGGGGTACACTGCCTATCGCGCCTTAGCGGCCTAGCAGGCGGACACCCGAATCGAAATCGATTCGGTTTGGTTCGGCCCCCAAGTCACGGGTGCTCTTCGGGTTGAGCGCAGCCCCGTGGGTTGAAGGCGAACTGACAACTGTTGATGCAACTGTTTATTCGAACCAGTAGTGTCCGAGGACACTACTCTCTAGCTCACGCTAGGGTTAGACTGACTCTTCTTCACAATAGCCGGCCCTTATATACGGGGCTCGAAGGGGCGGAACCGGAAGTGCTCGCTATTGGTCCGTTCAAAGTGCTGACGTCACACTTGGCGGGAAACTAGGCGTCGATTGGCCGAGCGTCCGAGTCGCATATCGATTGATTCGGCTCACGTCCCTAGGAACTGAGAGTGATAAAGGAATGAATAAAGAATTAACGGAAGAACAAAACTAATTTGACTTTTGTCACTGTTGTGCCTTTTTTTCTCTTTTTATTTTCTAACTCAATACACAATGGGAATTAGTCAACCATACATCAATCATCACTCCAAAGATGTCCCAAAAGTTCAAAGTGGCAGACTTTTGTTATGGACAAGGGTACCTGGGCTTACTAGAGAACGATACCGTTCGTAGGATTGTGCCGTCGTCTAAGAAACGAGCAGTCTTTTGAGATCATGCGGGATTGTTGGCCGGACATTTGAGCCCGAAGAAGCTGGGCATACGCTATCCCCTCGAAAGTGCAATGGTGGTGGCCAGGGTATTCTTTGAAAGGTGGATCGCTGAGGGAAGCCGTCAGCCAAAATGCATCCTATCTGATCAGGGAGGCGAGTTCGATAACCGACTGATGCAAGAGCTCAAAACGCTGATGGGTATAGACCATGTTTTCACGAAAGGATACAATCCCAGAGAGAATGGTCTGACTGAAGAGATCCAATCAAACGCTCATTCAGATGCTGAGGGAAAAGGTCTCTGTACCGTGTATAGTATTTACCCTTGCACAGTGGTTCTGTAGTTATTGATATCGTAATACACCACAGATGAGACACCAAGATATTGCACGGGTTTATATCCAACCTCAAACTTGGGTAATTAAACGAAGTAAAATAAATGTCCCTTAAATCATAGTAGAAAGGCAATAAGTGCATGGTACTGAAATAACTGAGTTAGAAGAAAAGTGAAATCTAGGTCACTCAAAAATGAAATGATGCAGTAAACAAAAGCTTAGAATTAAGCAACTAATTGAATTAAATCTTCCAAGCAATGATAATGGTGCCTTAATCGACCGTAACGCATAGATGATAAACGGCGTTAAAAGTGACATTGAAGAGTGAATGACTAATCACAAGGCTTTTATATGAACCTCCTCGTGCGCCGAAGCTGTAGATTCCATCCTCGTACTTTTCCGCACAAAGAAGTGTCATCTGCCGCCACGCGCTGAGTCTTGCCCTGTGAAGTGCTGAACGCTAAGCTGAAATGAAGCTAGATAAAAACGTAAAGATTACAGAGCATCAGTAATTAGTAAAAGACGTGAAAATCGCGGTGGAAGGGTGCTGGCCTCGTAAAGGACAGAGTGTATGGTGATGTTTTTTCCCTTTACAGGCTTTGCATCCCCCTCTAGTACGAACCTTTGCCCAGTGTCCCGGGATGGCACAATTGAGGCATCTGTTCTGTTTCCGAAAGATTGCGCGCCTTTGTTCCAGGGATGCGCATCTTGTACAAAAGGGTGACTTGTGGTCGCTGGCCCCACAGAATAAACAGTGTGCCGGACCTTTCCACTGATTATTGATTTGAGGCTTTTTATTTTCCCGTACACTTTCTGGTGTCTCCGTGCTGGTCTGCCCTTTTACCATTTCATTTATCCGCTCTTCAGTAGTTATTATTTTGTCAAGTTCAGCCAAAATGGTATTCATGCTCCATTTGGACTCATGCAAATCAAAATCCATGCATTTTTGCAGCGCCTTACGTTGCAACTCTGGCGAGAACTTCGAAAGGAGTTTTTGTGTCAAGTAAGAACCCTCCAGATGCACCCCTCTTTCCTCAAGTTGGGTTACTATTGGAATAACAAATTCCAAAAGACGGCGCTGCGACTGAATGCTGTTATTTTCCGCTTTTGCACTGTCTAGCCGGGATTGGAGAGTTGCTATCATTTTTGACTCATCCCCATACTTCGTATGTAGCAGAGAAAGCGCGTGATCGTAATTGTCTTCCGTGACTGGGTAACGACGTATGCTGTCGCGGGCCTCTCCCTGTAGCGCGCTCAGCAAGTAATTGAATTTTTGCAAATTGGTTAATGGTTGGTTGTGGACATTTGCGCAAAACAAAGTCCAGAAATTCTGGAATTCCCATATTTTGCCACTGCACGTGGTATTGGGATAGCTGGGAGTTTAGGTTTCGCGACCTTTACTTCCCCGGCCTGCTGGTCAATGAAGCTGATTGTCTCCCCAGTCGGTATGGACGGTTGCGCATGATCTCTGGCACTCAAACGGTCACACTCCATTTCGATAGCTATCGTTTGGGCCTCGCTGAGAACTGCATGCGCTTTTTCTACATACTCCTGAGCTTGGGCCTCTTGCTCATCTGTTAAGGAGTCAATCAATGAGTCCACTAAGGTAGTAAATGCTTCTAACGTGTCTTGAACTACTCTTAAGGTAGAGTTGAGTTGCATTGCTAAAGACTGGATGCGTTGCGATGTCTTAGAGTCCAAGAAATTCACGTTGTCCGCGTTTACTACCTTTTTACTCTCATTGATGATACGTTGGAGATCGTTACAGTACCTAGTCATTAGCCCTTTTTGGGATTTGAGACGTGTGGGTCCCGGCTCCGGCATTGCAAACAGAAAATGTATGAAGGAGGAAAGGCGAAGGAAAAAGAAAACGTATAAATAATGAAAAAAGAATAAAGTGCTGCGCCGACGAAATTGCGCTTAATTCAAAGGTAACTGACTCCTCTTTAAGGTGATTCACGATCGATCGCACCTCTCGGAGTCTATTCGCCACAAGAACCCCGGCATTGGCGCTAGAAGGCGATGACAGCCAGGATAAAGCAATTTGAGAGTCCGAAAATACGTGAACTGTCCAGGGGTAGCCGGGGACTCTTTCTTTCAAGGCTCGCGAAATTGAGTTCGCTAGGCGCACCGCCAGAGTGAGCGCATTCATTTCTAATTTGGGCATTGTTGTTTTGGACTTGATGGAAGGGAGCTTGCCTTTACCCATCACTAGTGCTGAATGACCTCCATCAAAGAGATAAGCGCTTGCTGCAATCGCTATCTCACTAGCGTCTGCGAAGATTGCTAAATTTATTTTGCCGATTCCGCACAAAGTTGCCGTGGGAAGGTTCTATGGAAATCCCTTATGTTCTCCACTAGGTCATTCCATTGCATGGTTAGCCTTGGTGGCAAACGTTCATCCCAAAAGAAGTTCTCTCTCCACAGATCTTGCTGGAACTTTTTTGGTAATGTTAGCAGGGGTACAAGCCAGCCAAAAGGATCATATACGGAAGCGATCTGTCTTGCAATGATCCTTTTTGTAACGTTTTCCAAAGGTGCTAGGGAACATCTAATTTGCAAACAGTCGACCTTCGAGTCCCAGGTAATTCCCAAGCACTTTCTGAGTTGCAGACGTGGCGCATGCCCCGCTTGGTAGGATATTACGCAGGGTGGTCTCATTTGAGAGGAATTCTCTCAGGTTCATCCCCATTTCTTTGAAGATATTGCGCGCTGCTATCGATTTTTGGGAAACTTCTTCTTCCGTATTCGCTGAGAGAATAAGGTTGTCTACCTACAGATTGTCTCGGATTTTATTAGCTAACGTGACATCTTCTACGGCACAACGTAAGTGGTGCTGAATCGTTCCTCCCAGTAAATATGGGGAGACCAATCCGAAAGTCACGCGTGTGAAACGGTAAACAACGATGTTGCTGTCCTCTACGGGTGCGTCAACATCTTTGACCCACAGGAATCGTGTTATGTCCCTGTCGGCCTCATGCAAATGCACCTGATGAAAAGCCTTTTCCACGTCCGCAATAACTACATACCTCGAAATGCGGAAGCGTAACAGCATCGCATACAATTCGGGCAAAATGAGTGGTCCCTGATGAAGAATGTCATTGAGTGAAGGGCTGTTTTTGAAGTGTGCCGATGCATCGAACACGATGCGCAATTTAGTGGTTTCCTTATGTGGTGTCAACACTGGTTGGTGGGGTATGTAGTGCACTAACTTCCCCATTACAGGCAGCGCTTGTGAAACTTCCTCAATGATGCCACTCTCCTTTTGCGCCCGAATGGTGTCATCATACTCGCGTAGCAGGGTGGGTGTTTTACCTAGCGCTTGTAACACGGAGCGCAAGCGCTTAAGGGCAATGGCCTTATTAGATGGGAGTTCCAAATAGTTTTCCTTGTACGGGAAGCGGATATAGTATCCATCTTCGCGTTTCTCAATAGAGTCCTCGAAGTATTTTGCGACCTTTTTATTGATCGCCTCTTTTTCTGCGCTTTTTGTTCCTGTGAATTCACAAATGCCTGCATTGTCCATGGTCCAGTACTTGTCCCATCTTTCCAAGTCTTCATCAAAATTTACCAGGGTGTTGATGGATCCTGTTACGGTCAAGTCCCTGGTGTTATCCTCACCGCTTATTTCTGACGTATACTCACGTTTTCCTGTGAGAAGATATCCTATTTTCGAAGGAATGAGTTGCCATCCCGATGGGAGAACAAAACGTGGATATGAAACGTCCAAAAGGTCCCATAGCTGGTCACAACCCAGTAAGATCTGTGGTTTTGTTTGCTTCCCACAGTCCGTTTTTGACAAACGGATATCATGTCGCGCAATGAAGGCCCAGTCCGCCGCGCTCAATTGTGCTGTCTTGCTCTTTGCAGTGAGTACTGGTGCAGTATACAGGCGCAAGTTATGCTTTTTTCCCTGTTGATCCAAAAGATCAACCATTTAACGCCTGACCTGGTATGCTTCGGTTCCTCTGTGCCGAAGGTGTACATCATCACGAAGTCAACCTGCTTCGCGCATGTAAGTCCTAAATCCCGTGCAAATTCGTTGCTGATAAAGGACTGGTCCGCACCGGTGTCTAAAAATATTTCAACTTCTTTCCAGTGGTCGTGTACCAGGATCATATACACGTGCCACTCCCGTGAGAAGCAAGACATTATCCTGATGGGTTACCTTTTCGCTATTGATTTTTTGCGGGGGCCCTGTGTTTTTCGCAGTGTGAAGTATGGTTCCCGACGTGATAACGTTGTCTCCATGCGCCTCAAGGGGGTCTCGCACTTATCCATTTCGACCAAGTGTGCTTGTCCTTGAGTCGATTTTTTATTGTGTTGCTGTTTTTCTCCTCGCAGAACTTGCTGTTTTGTTACCGCGCTTTTAACAGGATGCTCTTTCTTGAGGGAGATAACCTGGGGCTGGTGATTGGAAGGGTGCTGGCCTCGTAAAGGACAGAGTGTATGGTGATGTTTTTTCCCTTTACAGGCTTTGCATCCCCCTCTAGTACAAACCTTTGCCCAGTGTCCCGGGATGGCACAATTGAGGCATCTGTTCTGTTTCCGAAAGATTGCGCGCCTTTGTTCCAGGGATGCGCATCTTGTACAAAAGGGTGACTTGTGGTCGCTGGCCCCACAGAATAAACAGTGTGCCGGACCTTTCCACTGATTATTGATTTGAGGCTTTTTATTTTCCCGTACACTTTCTGGTGTCTCCGTGCTGGTCTGCCCTTTTACCATTTCATTTATCCGCTCTTCAGTAGTTATTATTTTGTCAAGTTCAGCCAAAATGGTATTCATGCTCCATTTGGACTCATGCAAATCAAAATCCATGCATTTTTGCAGCGCCTTACGTTGCAACTCTGGCGAGAACTTCGAAAGGAGTTTTTGTGTCAAGTAAGAACCCTCCAGATGCACCCCTCTTTCCTCAAGTTGGGTTACTATTGGAATAACAAATTCCAAAAGACGGCGCTGCGACTGAATGCTGTTATTTTCCGCTTTTGCACTGTCTAGCCGGGATTGGAGAGTTGCTATCATTTTTGACTCATCCCCATACTTCGTATGTAGCAGAGAAAGCGCGTGATCGTAATTGTCTTCCGTGACTGGGTAACGACGTATGCTGTCGCGGGCCTCTCCCTGTAGCGCGCT